TTAATATATATTCTTGTAATTATCTTACTGAATGGGAAAATACAGAAACATCTGAAGAGCTTTTTTGCTGCTAAGATATTTGTATCTAGGCACATATGATAAATAGCAAAGTGGAGTCACAAACTTTTCATCCTAAAGTTAGATCACAGACTGTTTTGGGCAGCTGATGTCTACTTATGACTTCATTCCAGCAATGGGAAGGGGACACGGAGGGGAGGAAGTCACTTTCCTGGTTTGGTGGTGGTGGTGGTGGTGGGGCTTGGGCTGCATCCTCTTATTCCCTGGGGCATTTTCCAGGGTTGACTTCCAGTTCCAGCGCATGTGTAGATAGTTCCACCTGTGACCTCACGGCAGAAGCACACACTTCCTTGAGAACCATCTAGAACACTTCAGAACAGAAAGTGTTGTGGCCTTTGACATCAAGTGCACAGGACTAAGCAAACCTCTCCTTGAGGGATAAGACCTGAGATGGATTCTGACTCTTCAAAGTAAACTGAGTCAAATTCTTCAAGCACAAATACCCCCATGAGTCCCTTCAAACAGATATCATTATTTTATTTACTGAAGTTATTATCAGTACCAGTAATTTACTTTTAAAAAATAAAGGCAGAAGAGCAGATCTCATGTTACATGTTTTTTAAACAAACTTTTCAGTGTACACTTCTGCACTGTTCACAGTAAGCCACTCATCTTCCCTTCCCTGAAACTCTGCACCCGTTAAGCAGCAACTCTCATTTTCCCTTCCTGCTTCCCCAGCAACTGCCATTCTATTGCATGATTTTCTTCTGGGTTTTACTACTTCAAATACTCATAGAAAGCAGTTTGGAGGTTCCCTTCAATCAGTCAGTCAATCAAGCAATCAAATCATCTATGGCTTTATAAGAGAAACCAGGCAGAACCATATAGATATGTTTAAAAATCATACTCAACAGGTCTATTTTAGGAATGAATGATTTGAAGCTCCAGCCATCTATGTTATGACTGGGTATAAAAATATTTCTACAAAGTCAGGTACTCTCTCCTCCTCCTCTTTTGAAGAGGAAAAGGTGTACGTTTCATATCTAAAACCAAAAAAGAAGGTATTCTGTTTTCCTCCCACTGAGCAATTTCCACAGATAAAATGGAATATGTGCCCTAATCTATAAACGCCCGAGCTTGGCCGATCCCACCAACATTCACCATATTTCCATCTTTGCTTCTTATTGTTGAGTCAGGAAGAGAGACTTGACTTTTACTGGTGCTTTCCATTTGTAAGATTTCTCTTTAATTTCCTTAGAGTCATTTTCAGAATCATAAATTACTCTTCGACCCTTTCATGTTCATCTGCCACTCCCTGTTCAGAGCACCAGCCTTCTCAGTAGCACCCTCCCATTTCTGTGTGGCTTTGGACAAATGACTCCATCTTTCTAGGCCTCTTGTTCGCTCATCTCTGAACTCTCGGTGTTAGGTTAGAAAGGGCATATCTCAGTTCCTGGGAAATCTAAAAGTTGTTAGGTTTACTAGGACTGGTTGGTGATTTGCACTGACTGCAAGAACAGAGGCATCACAGGATTTTATTTCAACAACGGGAATTCATGGGTAAGTTTGTAAGAGCAAAACTTAGGGAGAGGGTGAGGTCCATGCTTTTCTTGAGAGAAAAATTCAGTATTAAGTTTTACTGTCTCAGACAGTATTTTAATACCAACATATAAAACAAACATTCTTCTTCTTCTTTTTTCAAAAATTATTTTTATTTTTTTGGTACCGGGGATCCAACTCAAGACCTTGTGCTTGTGAGGCAGGTGCGGTGCCACTGAGCTAGAGCCCCAGCCCCCTCTGTCTTACTGTTAATGATTTTATAAATGTAGAAATCAACTTTGTTGAAATCTAGATGTATCTATATAAAAAATGTTTTGAAAATGAAGTCCTTCAGACAAAGCTAGAGGGCAACTGAAAATTTTTCCTTAATTAAGAAGGTGATCCCAAATATGGCATGTTATAGCCATCCACCTGGAGACTTACTTGTCTTGTATCATTTCTGAGCCTCATAGCTGCCATCATTGTTCTAGATGGTAGGAATGGGGAGGCCAAATGGTTGTCAGTATTTTTTTTTCACCTGTTTTCCTTTAAACATGATAGAAAGTTTATGATTCATCTTCAGTTGGAGGGAAGGGAGCAAGAATAGAAGTGGTAGAGGGAGAATTATGACAATTCATTTTCATCCTCCAGTTTAGTTCACTAAAATATCATCCCAGTTGTTTATAAATCTATGGAAGAGACTGCACACTCATATATTGGAGAGAATCAGGTTAGTATTTGGGAAATGATTGTGTAAAATTCAGTTCTTAGGCTTTTCCACTTAAAAGTAGATACTGTCAAGGACTGGAGTGAAGTTTAATTAATTCTTCAGTCTTAAACAGAGAAAGCCAGTGAGTAAGCCTTCAAAATAGAAACGTTGATAACTTCTGCATGCAGCAGGTTTGATTTTTCTTTGAAATCAGTAGATGAGACTGGCTTCATACACACTTCACTTTCTTTTGAAAGGGAAGCAACATGGCAGAGTGGAGGCTCTGGCTCTGATCTTAGGCAGTAACTGATGGACTTTATCTTCTGCTTCTCTTTGTGAAGTGGATGTAATATTTACCACAAAAGATGTTGTGGGAATTAAATTGTACATATATGTATTTACTCAAAATATGTTATATTCTCTCTCCTTTTAATAGGGAAGTTGGTTTGGATAAAAACCTACAGCCTAGAAGTCTAGCACTTAGACTGCTTTTGCCAATCAATTTGAAACCTCGAACTCCAGTGTTGAAGTCAGATGTTGAATAATTGGTACCTCAGTAAATTAGTGTCACTGACTTCAAATGGGCTGTTGTAGAACTGTTGTCCTATTCTCTTTCTTGAGTCAGCTGGTTCTTCCACTTTTCACAATGACATCTTCAAATGCCCAGCACTCTTAAAATCTTTGGTCTTTTCCTTCTTGTCCCATTCCATCTTGCTCCTTCTATTTTAGCTAATGACCTTGACTCTTATATAATGAACAAAATAAAAATTATCAGATGGGAACTTCTTCAAGTTCCTGGTGTCCAAACACAAAAAACAATTTTGTCTATGTTTATTCTTCTTCCTTTTCTCTGTTAAAGCAGAAGAGATATCTTTTCTTACTCTCTCTGCTAATACCAATCTCCATCTTTGCCTTGTATTCCCTCCCCTCCCTTCTTCTAGGAAAACTTACATTATTGATGATTCTCTCTCTCTCTCTCTTTCTCTCTCTCTCTCTCTCTCTCTCAGATCTTTCTAAGGTCTAAAATTATACTCTTTCCTGCAAGGCTTTAAAATCTTTCCTTTGAATCTCTTTCCTTCATTTCTCTCTTCTCCCTGATATTTTCTTTAAGAGGTTCTTTACACTCCATTTTCTTACTTCCTACTCATTCAACAAAATCTCATTGCTTTACTGAGTCAGTTTCCCTTAAAAGTTACCAGACATCTCCGGGTTGCTAAATCCAATGGTCATTTTTAGGGAGGAATCATCTCTACCTGAAAATTTCAAGGGCATTGAATCCAACATGCCCAAATTTGAACCCAGAATCATTTCCTCTGATCCTGACACTCTTCTGCCCAAACCTGCTTAACATAAGTGTACTTAGTGAATGGCACCAATTGTTATTAATTCTTCTCTCTTTCACCTTCCATATATCTCTTGGATCCATCCACTGCTTCTCCTTTTTATGTTGTCATCTCTATTGTAGACAATTGCACCATCTCCCTGACTGCTCTTCATACACACTAAGCTGCTCTAAGCCATGGAATCAAATCAATCTTTCTTAAATATACTTTTCATCATGATACTTTCTTGCTTAAAACACAAAGGCTTTCATTGCTTTTGGGCTATAGGAGCATACTTTTTCTTCTGCCTGAGATGTTCTTTTGCCTTTATGCTTCTTTAAATTGATTCTTTTCAGTGACCACTTCACATGACTTAGCTGAGCCTTTCTGAACCCCCCAAACCCAAGTTGGTAACGGCTGCTCTTATCACTGTGGTGAAGTCACACTGGTGTGATTATTGGATTTATCTAGACAGACAATATTTCCTGTGACATAGTTCATAATGTCTTTGACTCATCAGTGAATCTCCCATGAAAGAATAAGTTCAATGATAGATTTCTTTAAAATTATGCACTTCTTAGGACAAAGGCAGAAGAAAGAGAACAGAAACATCTGCTTAGGTCTGTTTTCTCAATGTGAAGAAATTCCCCTCCTGTAGTAGGGACAACTAGCTGCCCATCACAAATTTATGCTTCTTTTTGATAGTTTAGAATGACTGCTAAGAGGCCACCCCTCCCCAGATACTCTAAATTGAAGTGTGGATGTGTAATTGGTTGTAGCAATGAGATACAATGTCTCAAAAAAACCCAAAACAAAACAAAACTGTTAAACAATCTGTTCCTCCATTGATTTACTTTTATAAATAAAGTTTTATTGCTACAACCTATGCTCTTGTGTTCACACATCATATGAAGCCAAAGCTGCAGAGTTGAGTACTGTAGTTGCAACAGACTGTACGACCCTCAGTGACTAAATACTTACTATTCTGTTGTTTACTTAAAAATGTTTGCCAATACTTGGTGTATTGTGTTAAACAATCATAAACTTGTTGTTTAATTGTTATGGCAAAGAACATTAACCTAACTAATATATTTCAGTATATATATTGTACTTCTTTGCAGCCTTTCATTAGAAGTATTCTTTCATCAAGTATGTATTAAATATGTTTGGTATTGAGAACATCAAGGTGAATGAGACACGGTTATTGCTCTCCGGAAGCTTATGGTTTTCCTAGGAAGATAGATGAGGAAAAAAGATGAATAAATTGGCAATTATAACACTGGTATAATGGTATCAAGTGTTGAGGACTAATGACACAAGTATAAGGGGTAGTTATTCCAGACTTGGGAAAGGTATGGGCTACAGATCAAGTGGCGAAGAAGTAGACTCTGAAATGAGAATTAGTGTGCAAAAGTTTATCATGGAGTACTTGACTCTGGTAATAGAAGGGAAGTGAGTAGGAAGAGGCAGGGGGAGAAGTTGGGCAGTAATGTTTTCACAACAAAATTCTTAACCAAACCCACAGGGAGCTCTGCCTGATGTGCCCTTCAGTGTTGGGGCAAAGGGTTTGGATTTCATTGTCTGCCATCTGCTCCTAGGAAGAAAGGGGTGTGACCCTGTGTGAGGAAGATCTCCTTGGCTTAGTGCTATTTCTGAAGAGAAGGTTGTTGATAGTACTCTTAGGAGCTTGGGCATAAGTTTTTCCATCTAAAAAGGCCATCTGGATGGTGTACACTGAGGCCACCATGGAAGGGGCCTGTGACAAATCCTTGAGGGGAGTAATACCTAAGCTTAAATCTAAACTTTGAGCAAGAATTTTTACCTTATCTGAAGAGGGTGCAGGAATGGATGATGCAAAGTGCCTGAGGTAGAGGGAGTGATATGTTCAAATCACTGAAAATGAGACAAGACAGGGAGATTAGAAACAAATTCCATCCTACTGACCAGCCTGTCTTTCCACGTGGGTGCTTTCTGGCTGGACCAGATGGGAGGAGACAGGGAATCTGTCAACAGGCATGACTCCATTGATCAGCCTTTGCAGAGCACCTACATTCCAAAGGCTCCAGGTCATAATTAAAATTATCTTACATTTTAAAAACCAAGTACCTTCTATCTAGGTAACATTTAGTTAAGCCTGCAGTCTGGGAGCAGCTTTACAAGATCTGTATTAGGAATGTGATATCTTACTCTCACATGGTTTGAGTTAATTATCTCAAGACAGTGGCTCCTCATCCAAATCATGATTTCTCTATTCCCCGGAATTTTCTATTCTGCTCAGAAATCTATCTGGTTCTTACCAAGCAACTTTGATTGACTGGTGCAGATGTGAGTAAAATAGTCAAATCCTCTACCTCAACGGGAAACAGCCATTATATGATTTATAAACACAAGCAGGGGGCATATTTGAACAATTAAGCAGGGGAACTGGTAAAATGATTGGGTTTACAGTTCAGAACAACTAAATGTTGTTCAAAAACCTAAAACAGATGAGTTGAATAGTTTCTATAGCAGAAATATTTTGCAAAATGTGTACATTGTAAATATCCAGGAAGAATCTATACATATTTTAAATTCCACATTTTAAGCTTTGTGTTCTTAAGTATATTGCTTATCAGGTTTCTTGAATTGATAAATTATGACTTTATTAATAAACCTCTGGCTAGCATCTTCTACCTTTTTATTTAGTTACTATATTGATTCTATTGTATCATACTGTATTGTACTTTATGATAGTCAATTTAAGTCAAGTTTGGAATTTTGAGGACATATATGTGTTTCTGTGTTGTATAAGCAGAATATTTAACACTGTAATAAACACATGGATAACTATGTTTTTATAATGTTGATTACATGCTGTTTGTTTGTATAGTTGCCTAAATTAAGTATGAAGCATGAAAATAAAAACAGGCATCTTTTAACCACTGACTTGCCTTAAGACTAGAATATTGGAGATTTAAATCTACCTATGTGATCTTACGTAATCTAATTGTTATTCTAATACCAAAACCAATACCAATGTTATTTGTATGGTACCAGTGAGTTTGACAATATCTCTTTTAAGGGAAGACATTATGTAGGTATCTTAACTAAATGTCAAGATATTCTTAAGTGTTTTCCTAAATCACATAAATAGAACTAGAACTAGGATAAAAGCCCAGGCTACTGTTTCCCACTTTGTTCATTTAAAAAAAAAAAGAGTAACAAATGCTGATGTCTCTAGTATTTTTGACATTACTATTCTTAGAATCTGAAACGTGATTTTGAGGGCTGAAGAATAAGAATTCATTTGGTTTTCCAATAAAACTAGAAAATATAAAGCCTCCCTAAGTAAACAAAACAAAACAAAACAAAACAAAACAAAAACTAGAAAATATTGTTCCAAAAGACTCCCAGGGAACACTGTTTCTCAAGTTCCTTCCAAAGCTATTACTACCTAATAGCTCTCTGTAACTACTTCCTTTGTTCCATATTATTTTCTTCTGTAGACTTATGGTCACTTCCTTGAATTTCCTTCCTTCCCCAGGGAGAAGGAGTATTCACCATTCTCTATTTTACATTTCCTTCTTTTTCTGATAATCATTTCTGAGCTGATTCAATGTCACTTCATGTATGTTAATTCAATGAAATAACATTTAGGTCCCACTGTATGACAGAGTTTCTTCTTCAGACTAAAGATATTCTGTTTACCATAAACATCATTGATGATATTATTCTCTAAGCTTATGCACCATTTTTATCTTTCTTTTTTGGATATTTTCCAGCATTTCTACATTTCTCATATGTTAAGAAAAAGAAGCTCTCTTATGTTACTGAGAATTAGATCTTTCTTGTCCACAGTTTTTCTTACTCCAGACCTAGAAAGGACTTAGTGACAACTCCATGTGGAAAACTAGCCATCCTTTCTGAACTGTGTCTAATTAATGAGACCAGTGGTCAGTGGTTCCTTTCTAGTTTTTCTTTTTTGAGTTATACTCTTGAACAACTTCCCCTTCCTTCTCTTCTTTTTAAAATTGAGTAGCCATTTAATTGGGGCTAATAGATTCAATCAAAAGAAAGTTGATGATTTCAATATCTATGACCACGCATTACTTTACAGAAACAGGATAAAGGTACTCTTGCAAACTGTGGCTTATGTGATAACACTTAGCTTTGTACGTATAACAACAACGAACCTCACATAAACCAGTGAACTTGATAATTCTTCAAACAATCTTAGATTTAGGGGGAAAAAGTCTAAAGAAATTTACCTGTCTAACAGGCTACCATACATCTTCATAATGATGTCTGGTTGTACTTGTTAGATCCAACTCTATGTTGAGTTTTTCTAGCTCGTTACATAAGATGCTATTCCTGCACTGAATCAAATCCTTCTGTTTAAAAAATCAATTTTATGTAGCAATACTGGAATCAACCAGATTTCCCCCCTCTTTTTTTAATAAATTAAACACTGTCGGAGCATTTTGAGCTTTGGTTACTTTGCTTACATCTCTTCCTGCATTTCTAGACAGATTTTCAAATTTCCTCCACCCCCTGCTGACTGACATCACAATAGGTTTTATTGTCAAGTGTGCTGGGGTGTCAGACTACTAATGCCAGAACTGGAGCCTCTGGGGATCTGTTTCTGAGGACATGGGTGTTCTTAAACTTAGTCACCTCCCTCACTGCCCGCCCCTAGACTTTGAAAAGCAAGCACTGTACAAACCTAATCAAGCAGATCATTAGGCAAGTGTCAAAGTTGGTGCAAAAGAGCTGAAGGTCATTACATTTAGTAACACAGGACACCTCCTTTTAATGGTTCTGGCATCCCCAAATAAAAATATAAATAGACTCTAAAGTTCAGTGACTTTTTGCGGGTACAATGGCATTTAGCTGCAAATGACATTGAAATGGACGTAAAGAGGAAACAGAAATGGATATATACAAAAAGATCTTAGGCTATTGAAGAAGACTGAGGAAACAATGACAGATGACTCAGATTCATCTCATTTGAAGGCAAGTGTTTTTCTAGATAAGATGGCAGAGTTTAAGTTTCTGTCAGTGTGCTGGGATGACCAGCAGGTTGTGTTCTTAAAACATATGCCTATGAGGTGGGGAATTGATGGAGGTACAGAATCTAGGAAGGCTTTATCTAAGGGGTGATATCTGAACAAGGCTTGGAGGGCATGTGGATTTGGAATGTGAAGGCATAGGGCTGAGACGGGAGGTGATGGGAACCCTCCTGTCCTAACACGTAAGATGGCATAGGCTCTGATGTCATGGACCACTTGGCCGACAGGGACAGCAAGCATTTCTGTGTAGCCAGAAAGGAAGATCTCTGACTGGCAGAGGTCAGAGACCGATGTTTGCTTGCTATTGACCTGCATTGGATTGGTGGGGTTTTGCAGAGGGAGTGTGATGACCTGTGCTTAACTTTGAAGAGACCAGGCTCAGTAACTTTTGTAAAGATAAACCCCAAAGTTTTAAAAACTGCTAGGGAGTTGGCATTCTTCCTTCTAGTTGGGGACACTAGAGATGGGTCTTAGGGCTGGGTGGATGAAACTTGGATGTCAATGATGGGTGCCAGACTAACAGAGTCAGAACCACCTTCTGCTCCTACTTAAAGTGGGGCCAGTCTGTTCCTCTGTCCTCACTTCTGAAAGCAGGTCTTAGGCCCAGGCAGCTCTTCCTTTCAAGGTTACAGAATTTGCCTCTGAGTTCTCTTCCACCTTTCTTAGTAAGGTCCTTTAAAAGACCATTTTAACTTTGGTTTTGAATTCAAATCCTAGTTTGGTTATGTTTATTACTTATGATATGTAAGAGTTTATCTTTTGGCTCAGGCTCTGGTCTCTTGGATGCCTAGAGTCACTGCTCACTTCCAGATCATGGGTGTTTATCCTGGGCTCCAGTTCACCATGCATTTGTGTTTTCTTCTTGGTGCAGAGCTCTCATCTTGGACCAGCACCCACCAACCACCTGCAGTGTATGTCCCTTTAAAGAGGAGGTGGAGAGTTTCTCACATAACTTCTTTTACCGATACATTATTCATGTTAACTTTAATTTGTTCTACATCCATGAAAATGCTTACTCTGATTTTTAGCATACAGCCAATTGGCATCGTATAATGGAGGGCATCATACATATACAAGAAATTTTAAAAGGCTTTCTTATGAAACTGTGAATAATACCATAATCTTCTAGGAAGCAGTTAAGGGTAATACTCACTTCCTAAGTTTATGAGTGAGAAAATTGACAAGTCACTTTGCCCCTCTTTAGTCAAAATGAAAAGTACTTTGAAGAAAAGATTGTAGATTCTAGGAGTGAATCTTCAGTTCTTTTGTTGCCTCCTCTGGAAACTCAAGAATTTGGCCTTTACTTTAGAGATGGGTGGTTAAAATCCTGACTTTGTATAAATATAATCTTTTTCTGCAAGGTTTGTACCTTGACTGTTTTATTCTTTGGGGGTTTTCCTCAGTGTTTCCATTTATGTTACATATCTGTTTCTCCTTCTTTGACCTCTTTGCACGGAAAAGAAGTAAAACATCTTGCATTAGCATGACTTGCAAACCTGACAGGTAGTGTTTAGCCATTGATTTATGGTCTTGATCCTACATTAGTTTCCATTCCTTTCCGTGCATCATGGAGACCCTGTGTGCTTCGAAGATGTTCAATATTTTTAATGGATGTGAACTTAACCATTAATGTAACATCTCTGGTTTAATGCAGATACTTCTGTTAAATGACAATATAATTACTAGTCATCAGCAAACCTCAAAAAGGTTGGGAGGTTCGGTTCAGTTACACATCTGAGAGCTCAGATCCTTATCTGAAGTTTACTCCTTTGAGTTTGGCAAGTCCAGGCTGGAAAACTCTCAAGATCTGCCTAACATGAGATTTCTGTCAGCCATTCTGTTGTTCTCTTTCTCAATTTCAGTACCTCTAGTTTTTGGTCTTCATTTCTTGAGCACCAGAATATGCCACATTCAAAGATAAAACTGTCCACACCAAATTTAGCTAAATAAAGTTGGAGACAAGATAGACAAAACAACGGGATAAGGATTTTATGTTGGAGGAGAAATGCTTCATTCTTGTAGTGTTAGAAATTGTTTTGTCTTCCTCTCTTTCCCAGATTCTTATTTAAAATGTTTGCTGCTACAGTTTTCTAGCCATTTCCTCCTGACATCAGACCGGGGTGGGGGACACTGCTGAAGATGACTCAGAGTTATCTTATTGGAAAACAAATGTGTTTTTTGCCTAGAAAAAGTGTTAATGCTTCAATTTCTTTCAGTATGCTGGGGCAAGCCAGCAACCTGTGTACCTTAAAAAAATAATTAAAATACTTTCAACACTGGGTGTTTTATGTTTTAGGTTTAGTTTAGGAGGTATGTTGCATTGGTGGTGTTTTTTCCAGTTTTACGTTCCTGTAAGTGATTTTTTTTCTTTTGGTCTTGGTCTTGTCATCTGTTCCACGGGACGGTTTTGAAATGAGAAAGAACCTTAGTTACATATGTACCTCTCCCACTGGCTTGGAACAGTGATGTGATCAGCTGTACCATTTGGAGATTTTGAGCTCCTGAAGGAAAGCAAGACTCCGAGATCATTTAGCACTTGGTTCTCAGTGTGCACATGGCAGACTTGCAATGACAAAACTGCACATTGAAATGCTGGTATGATGCTTGTAGTGAGAATCAAAGATTTCTGAAAAATTCATGCAGGAGGTTTGACTTCATGTCGGGAAGCCTTAGCTGGTATGGAGTTCCGGTGATGGTATTGCCAAGTCTTACTGTCCAGCTTTAGCTCAGGGACAATGTACGCTGCTTTTGTTTTGAGGAAGAGTTTTGAAGTCTTTTCTAAAAGGTATATAGATACCAATTTTAAAAAGCAGTACAGTACCATTGAAACCCAAGTGTTGCTATGAACTTAGAGCCCAGTGGTATAACTTTGGCCTTAATCAAAAATTTTAGAGGAGATCCTTAGATTAACATAGGCGATTAATCCCCTAATGTGGTGTCTGGCACATAAGGGTGTGACTCTTATGTAAGTGCTATCTCCTGTTCCTTCCAATTCATTGCTTGATCTTTAGTAGTTTGAGTACTGTTTTATTTCTGTAGCTTTGTGGGGCTGGGATATGCTGTTTCTCCTTAAAGATGGCTGATTCCTTCCTGGCAGACAATTTGTGCAACATGGACTAGGAGGTTTGTCCTTTGCCTGGCTGTGTCTAAAGTTCATAAAGTCATTGATAACCTTAATTGGTTATGCATTTCAACAGACACTATACACACAAATTCCAGAGGCTTGCCTACATAATCCACTAGATGCATAAAATTTTTATTAAGCAGAATATAAACAAAAGACTCCTTCAGACCTTAAGCACTTACTACCAGATCAGTTAATGAGGATTCTCGCCACCAGAGATAGGACAAGGCAGTGGCCACAGGCTATCAAGGATCTCCGGCTCTATTACCATCTCTAAGCCATGGGTCTCTTGGGTAGGGAAAAAATGAGGGCAAGGTGAGCCTGGCTTCTCCTCTAGTCGAGCACCTTTGTTTTCTGGGGCAGGCTTTAAAAGGGTATTCAGTAATGCAACCAATAAGGGGTTTTCCATCATTTAAAAAGGGCTCATTAGACTCTGCAAATTGGTGCAGTGCAAACAACGTTGAGAGGGTCTGGGTTCCCACATAAATTAGCTCAGTTTGTGCAAGATGAAAAATGCTTTGGCCCTAACTGCCTGCACTACAAACACAGCCCCGCTTGGAAAAAACAAGGTGTGCCCACTGCGCCTCTTACATCACTAGCAGTCATAAAAACACTGTAATTAAAACGTAGCTGACAATTTGCCTAATGATGTGTGAAGCAGAGGAGAATCCAAGCAGGGCCCCCTTGTATGGCTCACCGAGGTTTCTTGCAGGTCCAGCAGCAGCAGCCCCAGCCTGGCCCAGCAAACCCTTCTGCACTTGAGAAAAAGGTGACTCACCAAGAGACAGAGGGGAGGAGAGTGAAGCCAAGCTGCTGCCTTTAAATCATCAAGACCATTCTCATCATAATGAGTTTGTGTGAGTGAGAAGGTGCTTAGGGTGTTTGGGAACCATTCATTTATAATTAGCCAGGTAGAATTTAAGAAAATTAAATGATTCTCCACAATATAACTTGGACCAATTAACAACTTTAATTAGTGCACCATGATAATATGAAGAAGGGTTTCTAATTCAGTGTTCTTTCTTCAGAATTACTATTATTATATAAGAAAAGACTCTTTTTTAAAGTTGGTGGGACATTAAGGCTCAATTGGACCTGACACAATGGAGCCAGCCCAGATCTCAGGATAAGCTCTTTAATCCAGGTTGTCCCACAGATTCTTCTCTGACCCTTGACCAGCCACTTGACCCCATCATTTCCTGAGCCACAAAATTAGGAGCCCAACTGCTGCCTAAAGATGACTTAGATTTGATTCCTGACATGGACTCTATGTTTGCAAAATTTGGAAACATTCTAG